TGTTTGTGTGAAAATGCACAAAATCTTCATAAACCAATCTTATGACAACTTATCAAATAGAACGTTAACATATAGGAATATGGACTTTAAGTCTATTCTTCTCTGTTGAAACGGATTACTACTGCTCTTAGTAACAATGTACATTCTTCATATTTTGACACATGATCAATCCAGTAGGTCGAATATATAGAGAGATCCTCAGATGCGATATTTTTCATTAAAACGACGAAATCGCAACTTCGAATTTCGGCACTGTTGATGAATCATAATACCATTTCTTTTTCTTGTGAAAGATATAAAACATATTTGCAGGAACGCCACTGATGGCGCATTAAAATAACTTTCTATACTAGCGTGACAAAATAAATACATATATCCGAAGATACAAAATAAAAATGATTTTTTCTTAAACACATAAGATTATTTATGGAATAGTGTCCTGGAATGTTAGTACCTATGTCATCAGACATCACCCTGTATAGTATGGGATAGTGCATCCCATTTCAGTCTAAATCTGTTCTAGTGCGAGGTACAAGCAGTTTTTTATACTGAACGTTAGCTACATAGGCAAAGTGGTTAGCATTTAGTTTCAACAAGGAGTTTCTCTGACTATCAGCATCAATTAGCGTCTTCTACCTGGAAATAGCTACTATCCGTATCCCAAAAAATCCCGTCAGTAAGTTGACTCTGTACTTCCCACGCAACGCTGTCATCAGTTCGTAAATGATTATGTTTGACTCAAGATAGTCCTTCTGAGAAAAAGACTTATAGCTAAGGGCATATACATATAACAAAAAAATAAATGACATTCCAGACCACGTAGCACGTATCGTCACGCGACTGTCGATAGCAAGATATTTCCAAGTTTTAATGGTAAATCTACGGGGAGATCCATGATTAGTGAAATATGTCTAATAAGCGCGTGGATATACTGGGGTTGAAAGCGAATAGATATACCAACGCCAAGAAATTGAGATACAACCTCCCCCACCCCCAGCAACCCCTAGCCCCAAATTTTAAGCCCCTACAAAAAGTTTTCAGAAAATGATCAGAAGCCTCTGAAACGTGAAAAAATGGAGTTTTGACGATTTTTATTCTTTCGTTCTTTTTCCATATTCTCCACCAAAACTGGATCGATTATCAAAATCTAGAAAACTTTTTCGTCACTGAGATATACCTTTGTCTGAAAATTTCATTCAAATCTGAGCGGTACGTTCCAAGTTTAAGATGAGCCAAGGCTTAGCGGACAGACATAATATCTCATTTTCGAAATTTCTCGCCAGTATGCGTGGAAAGTAAAATGATCAAAACGATCTATGAGACAGTAAAATAACACAAAAACAAATCTAAGAATCTATTTTGAGTGTGTGGTTGTGCTACAATCCCACAGGTGACGCTGGGATCTTCAGTCTCCTTTTTGGCCTGTCTAGTGCCTATTTTAACCGAGTATCTCAAGGTGGAATACGGTAATAAATGCTTTTAGGGACTGTCAAATACATGCATTCATACCATTAACGATTTGGCGTTGTCTAGCTAGGCAATGGACTGATCTGCTCAACTGTAGCCCGTGCGGGACTACCAAATAATATTAGTATTTATTGTTCATCCCACTTCTGAGACTGTCTGCGGTTTGCGTATTTGATTCCCAAAGATTTTACCGAGCGAGGCAAGGTAATCTCGCAGGCTTTCCAGCGCATCAGTCATCTTTTTCTCCTCGTGAAAGTTATCCATCCCCGTATTAATTACAGTTTTCTTGCACGATGAATCGATATCCTGATGCCACAGCACGCAGGCTGGAGGCCCAGATTATGAATTATTATGACGAATCGCCACCACTTCCACTCCGACGAATCCTGCAAGGCAAGTGTGCCCATCCGAAGGCCGGAGGTGCTTATTCTGATGGACCAGTGGCGGGAAGGGGGTCCGGAGAGGCGAATTCTATTGTTCCTCTTATTAAAACTAGATGTGACTTAGTATCATGCGTAGTGGCACATCAAACCACAATCACACTACGGTGCAAATGACGTTCAAAAGAAGGCTTTACGCCATATCTTTTTCCGAGACAGCTTCTCTCGTGCCCGTCCATGATACATTCCTAAAGCAGAGCTGACACTAAGAACAAAAATTAGGATAATGAATGGAATAAATTTGCATTTAGTGATGATCTCAGTTCTGTTTAGAAAAGCGTCATGGGGTGCGTTCATAGCATCAACCCGAGTTAACTCCTTTAAGTGACTTTACTCCAGACTTCCATCGGAGACTGGAGTTAAATTGTTGCTGCGTTCATGACGGCTGGGGTTACAGACCTTGGGTTGAGATTTATGACCGGTCTCCTGGACATCAGTAAAGAATACCCGACATGCGCAGATCAGTTCACTTGACGTTAACCTTCTCATGCTAGACGATTCATGAGTCAACATAACATTACTTTAATGTAAAACGATCGTTTTTGTGGTTTAGCCATCTGATAAATCATCATCAGCATCAGATTCATAAAATTGCTTTCTAAGTGAAATTGTTTGTTGACACCTTCATTAGGAAATAGCTCCACATTAACAAATAGCTCTTTGGCAAATGAATAAATAATAACTATTGCTTTATTTTTGGCGATCTATCAACCAAAACTTCCAATTAAGTATGAAATACGCAAGATATCGATAATGTACTGCTTCTCATCATAAACTACATTACTCAACATACTCAACATTATCCGTTCATACTATAACTCGATATCGTGAACGCCGGACATGCAATAAGACGCACACAGCGTCTGTCGCATGAAGGTTGCCATAGTCTCGATCGACCGCGTATTGCGTTTGTAAATATTTCTCTAAGTTTTACTATCAAATGTATGGGCAAATCTACGAGCCCCTTCCCACTTCAGTTGGCCCAACTATTGAAATCTTAGTGTTTTTCTTATCAAACACAAATAACAAAAATGTAGCAGGTTGTTATAGTATTAAAATATTAACAATGAATATTTTGATAATATATAGTAGAAAACACCTACTTTATCACTCCCTAATCAAATTTGCAGCATAAAAAATAACACATGTTGCAATTACAGCATATCAACCTATTTTCATTTCAATGCAAAATAAGTCTGTAACGCATAGGTTGCTGTGAAAAATGAAAGCCATGACAATTGTTTTTATTAATCACAGCTGTCAGAATACGTTTAAAATAGTTTTGGGTAGTTAAGGTTTTCAAAATGGGCAGGGGAAAGATTATTAGTGAGAAAATTCGGTCACTGATAATTAAATTTTTTAATTCTGGGAAGTCAAACTCAGAAATTGCAACTTTGTTAGACTTATCGCGGTACAGTGTGATAAATATTGTTAGAAGTCATAACGTAACTGGTGCAGTTAATATTAAGCCACGATATGTGAAAAAAAGAAATATCACAAATGCCGACCGAAGAGCATTAAGAAGAATAATCGTGAAAAACAGGCTTGCCAATTATTTACAATTAAGTGCTCTGTGGAGTGACGCTGTTGGAAGGAGAATTTCGAGGTCCGCAGCTCATAGAGAGGCCCACAAACTGGGATTTAGCACTTGCAAGGTAAGTTTTCTTATAAAAAAAATTGAAGTAAAAACCCTAAAGTTGCACAACTTGTTTATAGGCCAAAGAAAAGCCACTATTAACTATAGACAATGGACAACTCAACAATGGTGTGCAATACGATGGAGTGATGAGGCCCGATTCGAAGTTTGTGTTGGTGACAGTCGCAGTAGGGTTATTCGCAAAAAAATTAAGAATTCCATGTTGACTGTCTGAAGAGAAAAGTGAAATTTCCAGCATCCATTATGGTCTGGGGCAGTATGTCATCAAAACGAGTAGGAAAACTTCATTTTATTGATGGAAATGTGGATACAAACAAATATTTGGGAACTTTAGAAGAATCGCTTTTACCAGTGATGGAAGAATGTTTGACATCCGGCCAAGATTTTGTGTTTCAGCAAGATGGTGCAGCGTGCCATACCTCAAAAAGGCTATAAAATGGATGGAAGAAAATAATGTACCACTTTTGAAATGGCTTTCTAGCAGTCCAGATCTGTTACCTATTGAAACCGTGTGGCACGAGATGAAAAAGGTTCTACGACAACATCCTGCTCGTACAATCACCGAACTGAGACAAAAGCTTCAAGAAATATGGGATTGTTTTATACTAAATTTTTACCAAAACTTGGTCAACACTATGCCCCAAAGAATTTCAGCCGTAATAAAAAATAAAGATGATGTTACCCAATGGTAATCTTTCAATTGTTGCTTTGTTAGCTTCGCGCGTTTATTCGCACATTGTCTATTTGTTCAGATGTTCTATTAGTTATAGGTGTAAGTGATTTCAAATATGTATTTTTTACGACTAGAGTGTATCGAAATTTTTTTTGAGAAAATAAATTGTTTTAGAAGTAAATAGTTTCGTCATGTTAAGTTTATACAGGCATATTTTGGTACAAATCTTAAAGTGGGTCAACTGAAGTGGGAAGGGGCTCGTATGATGTGTGAAATATGTGCTAATATCGCATAACATTGCTAGGAGCGATTTTCAAAAACTACAAAGCTTTTCCGTTCTTGACATAGTAGTTACCTCGTGTGAAAATATCGACAAAATCCGAGCAGTATTTTCCAAGTAATAGACACGTCAAGCGGACGGAAAGACCGACAAAAATGAGGCATGACATGTTTTTTCGTGAAGTACATGTCAAATAACATCCCAAAAACGTAATATTTGTTTTCGAAATCACGCGATTATAATACTTCCTCGCCAGCAGGAGTAGGAAGTAAAACCAGCTATAATGAATCTGTGTTTGATCATGTGAAGTCATGTTCCTTTCATTCTACCTGAATGGTTCCGCCAGTGCGTTATCCTGTGGGACGTGACGGATCCATTACTTGGCCGACAGGCTAATTATTAAGGAACGCTGGTCAGCAGCAGCTAATTGGGAATGATCGAAACGAGCCGTTGAAGCATCCTGAGGGAGATGCTGCGAGAACGATGAAGGTGAGAGAAGCGCTGAAAAGGAGATGAGACTGTAGATCGGTAGACATGTTGAGCTGAAACACGTAAACAGTAATGAAGTTTTAGTTTAATTCTGGTAAAGCAAGTTGTTTTGAAGCTGATCCAACTATTCTTAGGCTACGGTCAGACTGCATCCGTGTTTGACAGATTTTTACACTGGCGTATAAGGGCGATAACGCCAGAAAAAACAAATGCGGCAAACTTAATTGGAGACGGTCACAGTTGCGCCGTCCAGCACTGACTTGCACGGACTTGTTCGGCCGACTGACGGTGGAAAACAAATTATTTTGTTTTTTCCGGCCGTATACGCCAGTATTTGTGTTGGAGTCTTCAAGTTTATACAGTAATCACGAAATATGGTAGACATAGAAAAACTGATTTCGTTGGTTTATGACCGAAAACCATTGTAGGATGTGGGCAGTAACAGCTATCACAAAAGGAACGTAGGAAGAAAGCTTTGGCGGGAAATAGCAGAGGAATTGAACAGCACAAGTAAGTATTTTATTAATTTTATTTATTTTAGTGAACATATGCGTCTATTTCATTGTCCTGAAAATCTGTCACCCCTACTGTGTTGAAAAATTGGTCGCAAATGTAGTAAGCATCTCTTCCTGCTTTATTGAAGCATCTTGGTCCCCTGCTTGTCGATCTTGCATCTTTTGCAGTATTGGTTGAGTTGATTTTTTGCAATGTACCTTCATTGATTCCCTCTATATCTATGAGAATGTTGTGCAATAAGCAAGTAGTCATGACCAATTTGTCAACATGATGAGGTTCAACTTGTAACTCTGTCTTTAAGCATCTCCATTTTGAAACAAGTATGCCAAATGCACATTCTACAGTTCGTCCCGCTCGACTAAGCCTATAGTTATAAATTTCAATTTCACGAGGAAGCTCCTCCTGTCCTGTTGGATAAGGGCGCATTAAATACTCTTTTAGAGGATATCCTTGGTCACCAAGTATGACGTAAGGTAGCGTCATGGTAGTTCCGGTTATCTGTATTGGTTGTGGGAAAGGAAAAGATCCTGTTTCTATATGTTGGAACAGATTAGATTCTGAAAACACACCACTGTCACTTTGCCTACCATAGGCTCCCACATACATACTTAGAAATTTATATTGCGCATCAACCATTGCTTGAAGGACCACAGAGAAGAATCCTTTATAATTGAAGTGTTTCGAGCCAGTTATTTTCGGGCATTTAATGCGCACATGTTTGCCATCGATACTGGCAACACAGTTTGGGAAGTTCCATAACTGCTCATAGTCCTTTGCACTCTTTTCAAGCAATTCTGCTGTAGGAAAAGGCATATGTTTCTCACTAAAACACTCCCAAATGGCATCACAGGTCTCATAAATTATTCCTGCAATACTGTTGTGTGCAATCCGATAGGAAAAAGCCAAAGATCTAAAAGCCATCCCCGTAGATAGAAATCTGTAAAGAAAACAAATTTCGTAAATTCAAAGTTCACTCCAAATGAAAGTTATGAATTTTACGGGGTATTCTTTTATTTCAGGTGAAGCGACCAAAGGGAAATGGCAAAACTTGAGAGATAACTTTCGCAGAGAACATGCAAAAATTTCGAATGCGCCTACAGGTAGTGCAGCTCTTGGTGATACTCAAATCTCTTCGTGGAAATACTACAAACAACTTTCATTCCTAATCGGCGCGTTTTCTTCCCGAAGAATGAAGACCAATATGCCTTCCGTGTTAAGCCAAACTTCAGAGCTAGCTGATATCCTAAATGAAGAAGAAGAGCACGTAGCAAGGGCATCTAACAACACCATTGATCCTAATTGTGCGATCAGCAACAGTACTGTTGAAACACAAGAATCAGAAACCCCCGTAGATACTGTTCAAACAGACCCGTTTCGTGGTCCCAGTGTAAAGTCGTTCAAAAAACCTCTCATGACAACAAAACAAAAAATTGCTAGACCGGATGCCTTAGCAAAACTTGTTTTACTGGAGCAGCGAAAGGTTGAGCAACTGGAGAAAAGGTATGAACGTAGCAATACATCTGAAGATTTGAACAAGGATGACGACTGCCATTGCCTTATGAGTCTACTACCACATCTTCGTGATATCCCAAAAAAAAAGAAGCTGGCAACCAGAATGCGCCTACAGCAAGTACGTCCCAATTCTGCTACTTCATCGTATTCTTATAATTACTGCCCACAGTGTTCAACTCCATGACCAAACGCAGCACAAACCAAACCAAATTCTCTAGCCACATATGTAGAAACCTTCATTCCAGAGTATCACAATGTGTGACTGAATTTCCTTATATTGTGTAATAGTTGAATTTGACTGGTTGAGTTTTTGACATAATAATTAGAGTTACCTATAGTGTATAGTTAAAAAATACAAATGTTTGTACTTACCTTAATGTTACCGATAGTCGTTCTTCTGGAGAAATACATTTTCTAAAATTACTTTGTTTTTCTATGTACGGCCTAATTCCATTTAGTATGTACCAGAACGTGTCAATTTGCATTCTGAAGTATTCGAAACATTTATTTTCTTGCTCCAGCAGCCTTGCAAATAACGTGTGAAACTCGCCATGCTCTTCTCTCTCTTGAAAAATGGAATTCATCCATTCACTTTTCTCGCGATCTAACAATATCATGTAATAATTTGGTTTTAAACAACAGTAGTTCGTCTTCGTCCATTTTGGATTGGAAACTGAAAAGATCGGTCGAAACACGTGCAGTATGACCACAAGTTTATCAGAGTAGGTCGGCCTATGGGGTCGTCCGCGTACGCCAGTGTAAAAATCGGTGAAACACGGATGCAGTCTGACCGTAGCCTAATCCGGCGCCCCCTGTAATCCGACATCCGTGTCAACTACTGACTGTGGGCCCGGCAAGAGACAGACACTCAAGAAAGCTGAACATCCAGAAGTGGAAGAAGCTTTGCACATATGGTTTCTCCATTCATTCTTCTTTCAGGACCCATGTTGGCCATGACAGCTAAGTTTTTTTATAAGGAAATAACAAAAAAAGATGATTTTGTGGCCAGCAAAGGATGGCTAGAACGTTTTAAAAGTCGTCATGGTATACGTTTAATGACTATTACCGGAGAAAAACTTTCCAACGATGTCACCTGCATAGAGCCCTTTAAATTAAGATTTTTGCAAAAGGCGAACGATTTAAACCTTGACCCGTCACAGTTGTACAATGCAGACGAATCAGGGCTTTTTTGGCGTGTGATGCCTAACAAAACTTTCGTTTCTTGTAACGAAAAATCCGTACCTGGACGAAAAGTAAGTAAAGAGCGTGTAACCATACTACCATGTGCTAACGCTGCGGGCACACACGCGCTTAAGATGATGGTGATTGGGAAATCTAATAAACCACAGGCATTCAAAAACATTGATTTACCTGTACACCATTACGGACAAAAAAGTACATGGATGACAATAGACCTTTTCAAAAAGTGGTTCGATGAATGCTTCGTACCTGAAATTAGAAAATGGTCAAAAGATCATAATTTTCCTCAAAAAGCGTTGTTGCTTTTTGATAACGCTCCCGTCATCCGTCTGAAGAAGAACTAACAACTGAGGATAAATGCATTACTGCGATGCTTCTTCCGCCAAATTGCACTGCACTGATTCAACCAATGGACCAGAATATCACTCAGTTTATCAAGCAAAACTATAAGAAAAACCTACTTCTGAGAGCCGTATCAAAAGACCAACCAATAGAAAAAACTTTAAAAGAATTTAATATGAAAGACTTGGTTTTTGCTCTTTGTCAGTCGTGGAATGCGTTACCGTCATCAACTATTTAATCGTCTTGGAAAAAGTTATGGCCAGATATAGTTACCACTCCTAGCAACGTTCCACAAATCAGTGTTACTTCGGAAGTTATAGAACAAGTCGCTACTGAAACACAGATAAGTCCGTTTGGAAATCTAAAGCCGTGGAATGGATAAAGAGGAAAATGTTTTTCATGAAATGTCTGACGAAGAGATTATAAAAAAGGTTTCTAATTATACAACAAACAATCAGGAAAATAACGACGACGTGATTGCAACTGCTCCACAAGTCACAGCACAAGACGCAATTAACGCCTTTGAGCTATGTTTACAATGGGCTGAAGAGAATGGTACGTCCTACAACGAACTTTTACTTTTGAGAAGACTGTGGGCAAAGCTCAGATCTCGCGTTATAACAACCTTAAACAAAAAAAAAATGATGAATATTTCCAAACTTCATAATTTGATAAATTCATTAATGATTTTGATTAATAATTCTTGTTTATTTTGGTACATATGTATGTGCATTTATGCTTAATTTTATAATAAAACGTAAGCTCTCTATTGTTATTTAATTTACTAAATTCGACATACATAAACTATGTATGATTTGTACTTCAAAGTACATACATATGCATAACATATATAATCTTATCATTGGATATGTGATTGGTCGGATTACAAGGTACTCTTTTGTAAAAACTTCCGGACTCTAGGGGGTCTTAGGCAATGCTCTATAATCCGACAAATTCGATAGTCCGACACTGCCCTGCATAATGTTTGTCGGATTACCGGAGGTCCACTGTAAAGGTGATGCATATAAAGAAATAATGGCGTAAAGAAGGTTGATGCCCACACCACGATGTCATTACATTTTGCACATTATCTCCCCTCTCAGAGAAAGTTGGTTTCGAGCATGTATAACAGAAAAAATATATGAACAGAGTCAGACAAACAGTCCCATACAATTAGAACATAGTTCCAAGCTATCTGACAACGTTGCGCCCTAGAAGTTTCTCCCCCTGCTCTACCGACAGTAACGACCATCTGGCAACGTTGCTATGTTTAGCCTCGCTACTCGCCAGCCATCCATCGGACATATAAGTGGACGTACGTATATACCGGGTGTTTCAAATTCGACCCTCACCATTTTGATCTCGGAAACAGTAAGAGATATAAAGTTGAATAAACGAGAGCGAAGTTGCATATTCAGGTAGCTAACAAAATGCCGCCTAGAAAGTTTCGAAATTCAAAGTAGTTCCGGAGAGAGACGGAAAATACCGAATTTTCCCACATTCGTTTTAATTTTTTCCTGACTATTTGTAGTAGGATTTCAAAATAAATTGCACATTAACATTGTCCCTTTTTCTACTCTACGAGATGGCATAGTTAGAGTTTTTGCAGCATCAACTTTATCTTTTCTTATTGACGCCATATTGGATTTTTGCACAGATGATTCGAGTTTTTAATTATGATTCCAAAAATTTATAATAAGTCATACAGATATTTTCAAATCGTAGTTATTTCAAAAAGCAGAATTTCCTATGTAAGCCTTGAAATTATCAGATAGCCATTTGTTTCGTATACCAGATATATTGCAAAATAATTTTTTATTTTTCCTGATCTTACTTAAGATGGAATTTCAAAGTAAATTACATATTGTCAATGTCACTTTTTCTTCTCTACATGACAGCATAGTCAAATTTTCAGTTCGAGGCCTCTTCTTTTGACTTCCATCAAAAAATGTTTTTATATGGACGCTATATTGGAATTTTGTACATTTAAATGGAGTTTTCAGCGAATATTTTTTATATCTTTAAACTGTACGTCTCTTTAGCCGTGCTTAAATTGCTTTTGTGTAGACGTTCCACAGATATATGAGTATTTAAGTATGTATATTTTGTCTTTACTAAATAAGCTCATTTTGATACGTCATTTGTTGATTTAATGTCACCAACAGAGTCTAATCGAAGCAGAGGTGATTTTCTTCTAAAAAAGGCTAAAAGGCCGGCAGGCGATCGGTCTCAGGCAATCGACGTTAGCTGCGGGTGACGGTATCGCGGGTCGTAAGTCACTTGGGGGCCAAACCCGACCCCGGCTGACAGATTTACGTCTCTTCTATATATCTTGCCAGCGATTTCCGTCTCAGGAGTTCTATGCAGCAACGGCATTCGCGGCGCGACCGGCGTCCATCTTTAGCGTTTCGGACATCGCTTCTTATCGCCCGAGGCGTACAGGACCATAAGGAGCTACCATGACAGCGGCGCGCTGTTAAACCTAGAGCCGTACCCATAATAGAATGCAGAAGTTTGCCAATATTTTTTTCAATTCAAATGAAAATTTAAGAAAAGCGTTACAACGGTGTGAAAAAGTATCGTTTTACCTCTGAATACAAAAACGTGTATACACTTTAAAAGTTGTGTCCGTGGAAATATTTTCGTTCTGTTTGAACGCGACGTGTGACGCCACATATCAGTGCCCAGTAAAGCGACTGACCAGGTGGATGTCCTCAAATTGATACACATGGGCGCCAGTTTAAGGCGGACTCTGCACTTCCCATCCAACGCCTTTATCATCAGTTCATAATCGATTATGTACACAGATTAGACCCTCTGATAAAAAAAGTCAAAAAAATCCATACAATTAGTCCAACCGTCGCCTCTCACGCAAGGTGTCTGCTGAGAATAGTTTTAAGGGCTAATGTACGAAGAAATCTGATATGCCTAATAGGTGTGTTGAATCACCAAGGTTCGGAACGTATAAATATACTTTACAAAAAAAATTGAGATATATCCTCCCTACAAGCTCATCCCCATATTTTTAACGTAAAATTTTTCGTTTCTGGCACTTTTCTCGTCGCCAGTGGAGCGGTTTTCAAAAACTTTCTGTCCCTGGCATAGTAGCAACATTGTATAAAAATTTCATTAAAATTCGAATAGTACTTCTCAATTTATAGGCAGTTATTAACGAGCAGACAAACCGACAGACCGACAGGCAGACCGACTGACTGACCGGCAGGCAGACCGACAGACTGACCGATGCGATTTTTCGTGATGTACATGTCACATAACATCCAAAAAAACATAATATCTTATTATTCATTTTTTTGCGGTTATGGTATGGGGCCGTTCAAGTATTACGTAAGCACATTTATTACAATGATTTACCCCCCCCCCATCCCCCTTGTAAGCAAAAGTAAGCAAAGCTCTTCCCCCTCCCCCCATGCTCAGGTAAACATTTGTCATTTAATGTATTGTTTTTTTTAATATTATAATTATAAGGTTATAACTATAATTTGAAAACTAAGAAAATAGATTTATATTTTACTGATACGGTATTCAACATAGAGTAAAGGACAAAAATATTATATCTAACATAATAAACTTATTTTAAATTTTTGGTACATATATTAAATTCAAATTAACAGTCTTCAGACC